CGTATTGCTTCTCTTTACCTGGTTTTGTTTATTCGACTCAAATACTGGCTGTATGTCATGTGCATGCTACCTACATCCTTGAAGCTTTGCACCACGTTTACCTTTACATCTTTCCCCCTACAGAAAGTGCTGGCCTCAGACCAAAGCGAAGAGGGATCGTTTGCTTTCTCTTTAAATCACGTCCCACCGCCCCAGGCAGCAGGTTATGGTTCTACCCCGCATAAGCCAATCCCAGCAAGAGCAGCAAGCACTGAAGACACCGGCTAAGCAATCGCCAAACCTCCTTCCTGCGTGGTTCTATAGCTTCTGTCCAATCAGTGCCAGGCAAGCCCTGGGCCTGGGCGGAGTCCCATTGATGGTCCCACTGGGCACGCTGCTGCAAGGATGGGAGCGAGCCACTCAGCTGCATCAGCCTTATCCCCCTCCCCCATTCGCAAATAAGAGTAGCAAGGGCTACTGCGCATCTCTAGCATGCTCCGGCTCAAAGGCTCCCCACAGCACCCTGTAAGCTTTGGGCGGCACGCCTCGCGTGCATCAGAAACTAGACCTGGCAGCTGGGGAGACGGCGACGAAGCAGCACAGCGCCTTAGACCACCCGCTCCTGCAGCCTCAATCAGTTCGCAGGGCTGCAAGTCAGCTCCGAGCTGAGGGAGCCCAGCCCACGTGTACTCCCCCCACTCGTGCAAAAACAGGAGCCGCCCCATGCGCAACCGCACACGCGTGCCAGAGCAAGCAGGGACCCCCGGCCACCTGCAGGCACCACATCAACACCGACCCCCGCCGCCTGTAGCTTCTGCAGCTCAGCGGCCCGGGATGACTCTGCCGCACGACGGAGCCACTCACCGACAGGGGTTCTTGCAGCAGAAACAAGCACCACCGCTTCTGAGCCGCCTGCGCTCATGGTGGCCACCGCCGGACTCCCAATGGCACCGGCCCCGCGCCTGCAGCCGCCCTCGCTACTTGCCCGGCTCCGATCTTCAAGCTCCTCCCGCTCAAGCACCTTCGGGCAAGGGGGGAGGCGCTAAGCTAGGGAAGCAGGCGCACCACGTGACAGACACGGGGTGGGGGGAGTGTTGTCGTGGGACCGGCCACGTGACCTTCTCTTCTGTATTTTTTTTGCAAAAGTGTTTTGTCTTGGGGCAGGAGGCGCCCAGGTGTAGTCCTAGCACAGGGCCAATCTGCAGCACAGGAAAAACTGGCTCAGGGAGGTTGCTCCTTGCTGACACCATTCCTAAAAGCTGCACTGGGGGTTGGACCTGTTTAGGTTGAAACCAGGCCTTCAGCCTAGCCACCAGCGGCACAGTCCCTGTTCCATCTGTTTTTGAGGTTTTGAATAGTGGAGTGCCTATGCCATATTGGCAACTCCAGCATTAATAGTCATGCCCTCAAAAGGGATGAGAGATTGGTTTAAAAATCAAGGATTTAAAACATAAATACTAAATGTTGGTTCCTTTTAATTTGACTGCTTCTTCAGCTTTTAAGGTTTACATTTTCAAAGTTTTCTCCACTACCATAAAGGTTTTAGGCTCTGACTGCCCTGCCATGGAAGCTGATGTTCTCATATAATCACTTGAGTCTAGGGGTGAGGCTAAACAAACACCAAATATTATGAGATTTGTGATAAAATGTCACAATTTAGGATGCGATTCTGTTTGCAATCCATTCCAGAACTGTATTATATCATTGCATTTGCACTGGCTTTATGGTACCAACCAATACCCTGCTCCTGAAACAGCTCCCTGAAGTAATGACCTGCTGTGGGAGATTTAGAGTGGCTTCCTGGGAGCACCAGAAATTGTAAGGCAACAGGTAACATTCTCCAAATTTGAAGGGACACTCCAATAAGCCTCCAGGCACTAGTGTAATTTCCAAGTTTTTTCTCAAAACTGGGCCTTGGAGCTGTGGTTCTCAAACTGCAGTCCACAGACCGCTAATAGTCCACAGCCCGAGCTCAGCCCCCCTTCCTTCCTGCAGCAGGGAGCCAGCACTGGTGCTCCAGCCTTACCCTCCCTCCCCCACACGGTTGGAGCACCAGGGAGAGAAAGTCCCGAGCCTCACTGTGTGATCTGGCCTGCAGGGAAGAAACACTCTCTCAGTTGGGAGGTTTCCCTTCTGCTCCCATTGTCTGGGGCTTTCTCCCACTTCCCCCAGCCACCAGGGAGGGCCGAGGCTGTGCCAGCCCTCGCTCTACCCCCTTCCGTCTCCCACACCAGCCCCGTGCTCTCCCTGGCTGATGGGTGGGAGAGAGGACCTGCAAAGGCCATGCCAGGCCGGTTCTCCCCCTGGCCACCAGGAGGGGCCAGGCCAAGGCTGCACTGGTCTCAGCTCTGCCCCCAGCAGCCAGGAGGGGGAGCCAGGCCAAAGCTGCCCAGCTCTCCCTCCAGCCGCTGGGAGGTGGGGCAGGGTCAAGGCCGCCCTGGCTCTCCTCCTCTCTCTTCCCCAGCCAGCTCTGGCTCTTCTCCACTCCCCCCCCCGCCATGCTTATCCAATAGTATTTTGACTAGTTGATATCCCCCCCTTTGCTGCCTCTATAAAACAGATACAGCAAGGGGGGGTTGGGGTACTTCAAAGTGGCAGCAGTGCACAGTGGCACTGCTGCTTTGAAACCCCTGGGCAGCTTTTCAAAGGGGCAGCCCCTGCACAGCTGATCTGCAGATCAGCTATGCGGGGGCTGTGCCTTTAAAATGCCACCTGTGTACCATTCAAAGGGGCCTCTGTGGCACTGGTTTAGCTGGGGACTCCCCAGTTGATCCTTGGCTCCCCGCAGCACTTCCCCAGAACCCAGGATCAGCTGGGCACTCTGTGGCGATTCAGAGGGACAGACATGGAATTCAAAAGTCAGAAGATGGGAAAATGAACACAATAGTCTGTGGGGGTTTTTAAAAAAGAATTTTGTAATATTTTTGGTCCAACTTATTGTGGGTCTCTTGAAATTGGTAATGCGGGGAAGCTTGAATGAGAGGGGAAGGAAATGCTGAGACACAGGGTCTCAGACTGAGGAAGGAGATGAGGAAGGGGGAAAAGGCTTAGGTGTGGAGCAGTGATGCAGGGAATGTGCTGGAAGCTCAGACTGAGATGGGAAGTGCTGAGGCAGGGCATGAGAAATGGGGGCTTTTGCTGAGGCATCAGTATCGGACTGTGTCGGAGGCAGGAAGTACTGAGATGGAGTGAATGATAGTGCTCTACCTGAGATGGGAAATGCTGAAGAAGGATGAAAAATGAGGCACAAGCTGAGGCGGGAAGCTTTGAGGTGAGGGGGCTCAGGATGAGGCAGAAAGTTCTGAGGCACAGGATGAGTAGCAGCAGCTCAGGCTGAGGTGGTAGGAAGTGCTGAAGTGAGCAGTGACTGGCAGATCAGGGTGAGATGGGAAAGGCTGAAGTGGGGGGCTCAGGCTGAGGCAGAAAATGCTGTTGTGGGGGGCATCAGGCTGAGATGAGAAACAATGAGGTGGGGGGGCTTAGGCTCAGGTGGGAAGTGCTGCGGAGGGAAGGCTCAGGCTGAGGCAGGAAAGAGTTAGGTGGGGGGCACAGGCTGAGGTGGTAAGAACTGACATGAGGGGCAAGGCTGAGTTGGGAAATGCTGAGGTGAGGGGGCCAGGCTGACACGGGAAGCGCTGAAGTGGATCGGCAGAAGCTGAGGCAGGAAGCACTGGGGTAGTTGAGGGGGGCTCAGGCTGAGGCATAAAACGCTGAGTGCGGGTTCAGGCTGAGGCGAGAAGGGCTGAAGTGAGGGCAGCTCAAGGTGAGGTGGGAAGCGTTGGTATGGGGGGTGGCTCAGGTTGAGATGGGAAGCACTGAGGCAAGAAACACTGAATAGGCTTTGACTGACGTGGGAAGTGCTGAGGTGGAAGGTAAGAAGCAGAGACTCAGAATGAGGTTGTGGAAAGTGCTGAGCTCATGCCTGGATAGCGGATGCTCAGGCTGAGATGGAAGCTCTGAGATGGGGGGCTCAGGCTAAAGTGGAAAATGCTGAGCTGTGGGGTCTCAGGCTGACAGGAAGAACTGAGGTGGGGGGGCTCAGGCTGAGGCAGGAAGCCCTGGGGGGCTCTGTCTAAGATGGGAAGCACTGAGGTGGGAGGCTCAGGCTGAGACACGAAGGGCTGAGGTGAGGTAAAGAGTCTGAGGTGGGAAGTGCTGATGTTGGAGGGGCCCAGGCAAAGGCAGGAAGTGCTCATGTGGGAGGCAGAAAAACCTGAGTGTAAGGCTGAGGTAGAAAGCCATGAGGTGGGAGGGCTCAGACTGAGGCTGAAGCATTGAGGTGGGGAGATGAACAGTGAGGGTTCAGCCTGAGGTGGTGGGAAGCCCCGTGGCAGGAGCTCAGGCTGAGGTGCCAGGAAGCACGGTGGCAGAGTGAGTGGTGGAGGGCTCAGGCTGAGGCAGGAAGGGCTGAGGCCAGGTCCTATCAGAGGAGGGGGCCAGGAAGGCTATTTGGCCCGGGCCTAAGGAGACAAAGGGGCCTCAAATTTTGACATTTTTCTACCCGGTCATTTCCATTTATTATACACCTTGCAGTTATAACAGAGACAACAAAAGAAGCTATACATACCTACCAACATTGATTTAATTGGGTATGTCTACACAATAATGTTATTTCAGAATAACTGATATTATTTAGAAATAACAAAGTGTGTGTCTACACTGCAATTTATTTTGACATAACGTTGAGCTGAAGGACTGTTTAATATGACTCCTGATAACCCTAATTTCACGAGGAGTAAGGGAAGTTGAAGGAAGAGTGTTCTTCCTTCAACTTACTGCTGTGTAGATTGCACCGAAAGCCAAAATAAGCTATTTCAACTTAAGCTACACAACTGACATAGCTGAAGTTGTATATCTTAATTTGATTTTTGGCTTGCAGTGTAGACATATCCTGTAGGACCTCGGGCCTTTGCTAATTTTTCAGTCACATCCTAGTATTCATCTGCGTGACAGGAGACTAGAATAGCTTCTATGATTAGTCATTCTCAGGGCTCGACAATTAGTGTAATCTACTCGCTTGTGGCTGCGCATGCGCAGTGTGCCGAACTGCATGGCTGGCAAGCAGTGCTCACCGCCGCTTGGCGAGCCCTGGTCATTCTACATTATGAAACACTGTTTACAGTCATAATTAAGTTACAGTTGTAAAGTTGTAATTAATTTTGTTAGGGTACATCTAGACTACACGCTTTTGTTGACAGAAGCTTTGTCAACAGACACTGTCGACAAAGCTGCTGTCGACAAAGAGTGTCTAGATTACATCCAGTTCTGTTGACAAAGCAAGCCGCTTTGTCGACATGAGAGCGTAGACGCAAAGGACAGTGTAGATGCAATAATGCCTTCTGTCGACAGAACTCTGTCGACAAAAGGCGTTATTCCTCGTAGAATGAGGTTTACCGCCGTTGACAAAACTGCCGAGTTCTGTCAACGTTATGTTGACAGAACTCGGCGGTAGTATAGATGCAGGTATAGTTTTGTCGACAAAACCCGTAGTCTAGACACCCTTACTGTAAAGTGATTTTGCTTGGTCTAAGGGTGAGTTTAACCTTTAAATTAGATGTTTATCTCTGCATAGGAGATTTTCATAGTCCTGTTTTTTCTTGTGTGTCCTTAGTATACAATAATCGTATCAGGCTCAGCTGTAAAATACCTCTTCATCCAGTTTTAGATTCACCTTTAAAGGCTTTTTTGTGATAAACAACTAGAATTAAAAGTTTATTAATAAACTTTATATCTAATCTGGCAATTGCCCTGTGTTCATATTCATAATAATGCACCAGTTATTAGAGGAATTTAGGTTGGGTGCAGGAGCAACTGGTAGATGCTAAAGCACCACACCCACAAATGACATTTCAGTGCCATTGCCTCAAAATGAGAAGGTCATTAATCAAGACATAGAAATGCCAACAGTAGCAATAGATGCAGAATCTATACTTGATTTGGAGATGGTGCAGGCAGAAAATGAGGACTTTGTGGTGATTTATTTGGGGTAGAAGTAACTGGGGAGTAAAGAGGCAGGCTCAGAACCTCAAAATGGGGAGAAGGGAGGGGGCTGACATCCTT